TAGGTTAAGTTTTATAATCATAATATTATGAGAGAAAGGTTGCACTTTTACATTCGCCGATATTTTTTTGTTAAACATATTTTTCAATTATTTTTTCCGATAAAAAAGCTTTAAAATGTTTCTAGATTACTGAAATACCATTACTATTTTAAAAAATAATTTTGAAAGTACTTAATGAAGGGTGCGCAAAATAAGGTGATCGCGCCATAATCAGGCATTCTCCCTTAAGGGGACAAGATGGTGTTTCGAGCTCGTATTTGAAAAAGACCAAATAAATCGAAATATTGAACTTTTTTTCTTGATTGTAAAATATGTTCATACTACACCTTATTGACCAAAAAAACCTCATACTCAAGCTCTGAAATCTTTATTACATTACTTTTTTCATAATACTAAATATTGTGTTATAAATTACTTGCTGCATGATCTTGAAGCAATTTCCTTTATGCACCGCATCGATGTGAATCTTGAGATAACATTTTTGTGTGAATGTCTTTCCACAAGTACCACACGCATGTTTAACACCATTATGTACTGAATCGATGTGGACCTTGAGACTATCTTTTCGTGCAAATTTTTACTGCATATATTACATGGATATTTGGTACGATTGCGTGCCTTATCAGTTTGGGTTTTGCGTTGACTATTTTGAGCAAATGTTTTTCCATTTCCATCAAATGCATCACTGAGTTCACCATCCAAATTCAATTCCTCTTTTACTTCGTCGACAATTTCTTCTTTAATTTTCTTTTGAGTCTGATAATCGCAACTATTTTTCATATGCTGTCATTGATCTGGATAATCGTCCTCGATTTTCTTGACTACTAATAAGTTAATGCCGAGCTTCTGGTCCTTACATTCGAATTCTATTTCCAAATCGTTATTAGGTCCAGAATTTTCATCATTTTCACGAAGCCCATAAATCTGGAAATGAGATTAGTAAAAATACTTGATCAAAATATTATATATAAACAGTCCCACATCAACACTTACTAAATTTTCTCGACAATAATTCGAGAATTCGTCGTTTTTAGCATCGCATGCATTGTCAATTATCTTATAATCTTCATTTTTAATTGGGGAAACATCATCTGGTTCCTTCTTCACTCTGCAATATTCCCATCAATATAAAGTATTGTGCCACTTTTTTTTTAATTTTATTCTCACGAAACAAAAATTACCTGACATCAGAGTTATATACATCACTGAAGTCCATGTTTATCACTCGGAACTTGATCAACGACTAATTGTTTTGTAATAATGTTACACATCGAGCTAGGTAACATAAGTGTAATAATATTTACAAATCGTGAAATGAAAGTTTGAGAAAATTTATGTCACCAGAGACACTCTAAACTTATCATTTATTATTGGAGAAATTATACTATTGATCTCGTAATAAACAATTAGCCATTTTCTTTGAATTGTATCTCATTACAAAGAAATTATAAATTATTGAACACTTCATGAATCGAGCTTATGATGTGTCCTATACTCCTTTTCGCATAATTTTTTTCGACGCGCAAAATATGAAACAAAGTTAACGTGAGCGAATGAAGGGTTTACATTTTTATATTACACTAACGCCAAATACGTGACTACAGTCGCATCTACATATATCATTTACCATTTTTACACAACGAGCGAATATCGTACATCTATGTAATCTATTGTGTGATAAATATACATGGTTAGTCATGTAGGCAAATATATATCTATGCATATTGTCACGTGGGCACACCGGGCCAGCTTAACGCGTACATATAGCTCTATATGTGTTGGCATGCCATGTGCAAATTCCTTTGGTTGCGACGTTGTCAATACACGCTGAGCACAAAACATCGATAAGTGAAATCTATTTTGTGCGTGCGAATTACAAAAACCTGTATTCATATATACCTATACTAATGTACATGTAGGGAACATCAAACTAAAAAATACGCACTATTTTTGTGTTCTACTTCCAATTATACCAATAATAATTTTAACGGCTTTACCAAATTAACTGACACAAAAAACTCATTGTAACATTGATTTATTATGATACTCATTGAAGCTACTATTATTAATTTCATACGGCTGAAACAACTATTATCATGATGTCATATGCTATTTCGTTATTTACCATTCAGTCGCTCAGCATTTTGCAACTGTAGTTGCCACTAGTAATAATTTAATATTGATAAATCATTATTTCTAACCATATTATGCTAATAAAAGTATGACTTTTATCATCGTATCGATCATGTCTTATATCATGTAATACAAGGTATCACAAAAATATGGAAACCCCTGAAAATCTGAGATAGTGACCGTTACAAAAAAACTCAAAAATGAATCGTGAAGAGTGGAAAAATTTACGTTCGAATATTATACATTATTTTTTTTACAAGGTAATTTCAACGGAATCACAGATACAAATAAAACCCAAATCTTAGGTAAAATTTTTCGAAAAAAATGGAAAATTGTTTTCGAACATTTTACTGTCTCCGCCTGCGGGGGTACTCGACGTTGGCTCCGGGGAAATCAAGTTCTGTCAAGTTGTATACATTGAGAGAAACTTGGCCTCTAGGTATCTCCGCTACACGCATTACATTGTCACGGCCAAGCTCGCGTTACACAGTTGCGAGTGCGCACCGTTGCTTTACATTAGTGCGCGCGACATCAGGGCGCAGCAGCGATTGGTGTAATTTGTTTGCGTCTCTGCGTCCTACCATCTTATACGCTTCGCTTCGGAGTTTCTCTTTTGCGCTTCTTCCTGCAAGCTTTTGGCGCGCGACAAACCTTACAGCAATTGGACAAGTTGGCCCGACTTTGCACGCTTGATTGCGCCTACTTGCACGCGAGCAACTCTTGGCAAAGTTCGTGCATCTCGGCTACCGGCGCGTATACGCGCGCAGTCGGATACGTCTCGAAATCAGTAAAACATGTCGCTCCAATCACGCCACAATCCATAACACCTGCCGTTACTACCTAGAACTACGTCACACGCTCGCGAATTGCGACCAGATTCAAGTCTACGCGTCGCTTAATTTTAAAATGTAAATATATCTTCGTCGTAGTCGGCGCTTTTCTTTTGTCTTATTTAAACGGCGAATGCTCCAAAGATCCAAAGCTTCAACGTCAGCCGTAGTTAAACTCGATTCTACCAAACTTTCATCAAAATTCCCACTCTATATACTGGAAAGTTTTTTACCCTAGAACCTTTCAGCTTTATTCGGCGCGGAAAGTAAAAATTTTTTTTATATTCTAAGGAAGAGGTAGAGCCAGTCAAGGGCTAATTGCATAAAGAGCGTACACGCACGAGCTTCGGAAATTTTGTTGACTTTGCCCGCCTGCTCGTTGCTTGAGGTTTTTTCTCGTACTTTTTTTCCATTCCGTTACATGTATAGTTTACGCTGGACAAGCAAAACCGGAAGATTTTTTGCTCAATTTTTCGGTCACAAGCGCCGAAGAGCGGAGAAAAGTTATTCAACAGCCACGAACGGGTGGCAAAGCTACCTAGGCGGCAAGTATGTCGCGCGATAAGTTTAGACGTTGTTTCGATAATAATGAAAGATATCGCCTCCTAGTAGAGTTAAGATAAGAGAGGAGCATATAAATAATAAATAATTCAAAATGACCTAGACTAGTTACTTTCTATTTTCCTAAAAACTCGGAGGTGGTGTCAGGGGCGAAATTCGTGCCTACTGCGTACTATGCCGTATAAATGTGCAAGCTAAGCAAACGGCCAAACGCCGCACGATAAAAAGAAAAGGTGATAATAGCTATTTTTTGTAGCATAATAGCTGTAATATGTACAACGACGCAGCATTAAGCAAGTTAGCGTCGTAAAATACGAGCTCACACGCTGCGCAAAACGATTTTCTGCGCGCGTTCTTGTTCTCTTTATCTCTCTCTCTCTCTCTCTCTCTCTCTCTCTCTCTCTCTCTCTCTCTCTCTGGATTATTTGTTAGGAAAAATAATTGTTGCGCGCATACTTGTCGAGTACCGTTGACTTTTTTTATGATTATTAATTGAAAAAAATTTGACGAGTTCGATCGCATCCAACGTGAATAATCGTTAGCCATGAAACGCGAGTGATGCAGCTCCGCTTTTACAGCAAAGTTGTAAAAATAAAAATTTTTAAATAGTTAAAGAAGTGCGTGAAACGCGTATGCAAGGAAAAAAACACCACATGTATGCACATGGACTGTAACGGGTACACGGAGCAGGGCGGGTTAATTTTTGCTCCGAATGACGTCGGATGTACAGATGCGAGTGTGTGCATTACGAAGCAAGGGTGTCTAGCACGTGTACGCGGGTACATACTACATATGTGTATGTACGTGCAGACTAGTAGAGCGAAAAGTACGCGCCTTTTTTCGATTTGGTCTTCTCGTTGAAACTCAGCGAGCAAGCATAGCGACTCCGTTAACCGCCTGTGACGTCAGTACAGACAGCCGTGTATTTATTATACATGTTTTCTTTATTTTTTTGTCTGACTGATGAATATGTATTATAAACACATGTTAGTTTACACACATATGCAAGACTAAAAACAAGATGTAGTGTGTATGCGGTGCAATTATCGGGGGTACTTGAAATTTTTTGAACACACACAAGAGAGAGACGGAAAGAATGCAAGAGAGCGCGCGTTCTCGTTAGCGTGACTTTTTTCAGGTCGATTGTTAATGTTTGTGTACGAATGCATATGTGTGCTTGGCCTTACACACGCATCAATGTGCACAAATTTACGTTTATTTTTCTACACGAGCACAAGTACGATTTAATCCGGAGTTTCTATCTATTATTTTACATTTTCTCTTATGGTTACTACTGTGGAAGATTTAAATTTGTGTACTTCAAGCTATAAGAACATCTAACAAATCCAAATTAAAAAATCATTTCTTTTATTTCATAATCATAACATAATATATTCCAATAAATAATTCATTTTTTTGGTGATTTTCATAAATATTATTCATATGTACAATTTTCTCAAAAATTAAAATAAAAATATTCAATTCATAATAATTTAAATAATAATACCTGTTAAAAAAAAAACCAAAGATACAGTCTAGATTAATATCTTGCATTTGGTGGTGCTCCAACAGCACCGTTGTTACATTTCTTTTTTAATTCCTCTTTTCTTTTGAATTCTTCTTGCCTTTCACGTTGTTTTCTTTTTCGCTCTAATCGCATTTCTTCTTCTGTCATAGCTTCAACAAAAATATATTTATAAAATAAATATTAATTACATTAATTATGTTTCAACAAAAATAATTTACCTGTTGATACTACTGGTTTTGAAACTGATGTTAATTCTGCATTATTGTTAGTAGCATTGTTCAAATTTTGGTTTGTATCTAAACATTGTGTTACTTCTTAAAAATAAATGATACATTCATTCTTATTTCAACAATAAAATCTTGTAATGATTATAAAAAAAAAAAAAGAAAAAAATTCCTTCATATTACCTGCTGTTTTGGCAGACACTGGTTGACGATTACAGTTGCTAGTTGCATTAACACTTTCCTTCACAGCTTCTTAATAAGTAAAACAAATTATTACAATTTCAAAAATTACTTATTTCATTTCAAATAATATGAATAAAAATAATTAACTGTACAAACCATGTGGTACTTTAGGTATAAAAGTAGTTTTTTTATTTGCATTCCCAGTTGATTCTTCTGTGGCCACCAAATTATCTAAATCAACTGAATTCATTAAAGCATCAGTCTGAGATAAGGGCATGAAATCAACATCAGGTATGGCCTCAGGTACATTTACTAAACATTTTCATCTCATGAGTATTGAGTTTTTTTATCGTTTGATTTTTGCATACGTACCATTAACTGGCAGATTCGTACGAGGAATAATTGAATTGCTTCGAGAATTTAATTCATGTTTATTATTATTTTGGTTGTTTACTTCTTTTGTTACTGACACACTCACAATGTTAGGTGGGCTATTAAATTTATCTAACACTTTGTTGCCAAAACATGTCAATGCTTTTTTAAAAGCCCCATTGAATGAAGACTGCAAACATTTGTTTCATAATGAGAAGTTATTAACTATTAAAAAACATTAACAATAATTATTTTCTAACCAGCCTAGCTCTCATTATAGCTGATCCTTTTGTAGAGCCTTCTGTAAAGCTATATGCTATATCTTCATGAAATGTCCCATCTTTCAATTGTACTTTTACAATAGATGCACAACCAGCTCGATACTGCCCATTCACAGATTCAATAAAGTCTAGAATTTATTTTCATGAATAATTATTGATTGTAAAAATTGTTTTTAAAATATATTATAATTTCAAACCTAAAGTTTGATTTGTAATTGAATGACTCCAATTTTTCTGTCCAAATTCTTCATTCGCTACAGCGATAATTTGTGCGGTAATTTGATCATAATTGTTTTCTTTGTTTCCTGTTCTGACAAGTTCAGTTTTTGAACTGGGCTATAAAAGTAACACGTAAAAACTGCCATGTATGAATTTATAAATGTATATAAATTTTCACTTATAAAAAATACTCACAAATTTAATGCAACTCATAATTACAATTTAAATACTTAATGTAAACACTTATTTGAATTAAACAAATATTTTAATAGCAAAAAAGAATTAAATCAAGCAGACAATTATAAAAATGCGATCGTTGGTACTGTATTTATGCTATTCTAACGTATATTTTCATATTCATCCGCACGAAAGTGGCGCCTTAGACGGCTCATGTTGTTAAGATAACCATAAGTACTACTTTCTAGGCTCCCCAAACAATGATCTAGGGGCACTTTGGATAAACCGCTTACCGACTGCAAACTGGCCAATAAAGTTACCTCAAAGAGCCATCTGACATCTAAACTTTACACTATATATATAATATATAGTTAATATGTATTATGTATACTGTGTAACCGAGTTCACTGTGATTAATAATAAACGGCCATGAGTTAAAAGTTTGTTTTCGCTCTGTTTTTATGTTTTCATTTACCTTCTAAGCCATCTCAAAATCAACTAGTGTTATCAACTCACTGCCTATCAAAATGGGCACCAGAACAAATGAATTTACCGGTGGATTTATTGCTGTTCACGTAGGTCAGAGACAATGCATTTTATTTTTTTCAAATTTTCAATATTAAAAAGTTTAGTAAAATGATTAACTTTGTTTATAGGAGCTGGTAAGCATTCTGAAAAAATGAAGGATCAATATCAAGATTGTTGTAGACAAGCATGTGACATGGTAAATAAAAAATGAATTGACTTAAAACAGTTGAATGCAGATATATTTTTGACTTACAGGGAATTCAAACACTAAAATCCTCTTATAGTGCTTTAGAGGCTGTAACTAAAGCTGTAATGGTTTTAGAAGATTCCCCTTTAACTAATGCTGGCTTTGGATCAAATCTTACCTATGAAGGTACAGTAGAATGTGATGCCAGTGTAATGGATGGATCAAATTTACAGTACGGATCAATTGGTGCTGTCAGTGGTGTGAAAAATCCAGTGCAAGTTGCCAGAGCCTTATGTCAGTTTCAAACACATAATAATATTGGTCACGGTAGAATCCCACCCAGGTAGAAGAAATGTTTTTCTTTGGAAAAATGAATTATTTTATAATATTTTATGGAGTATTAGTTTTTTAGTTGGGGATGGAGCCCTAGCATGGGCTAAGCAAATGAATATAGAAGTCATAAAACCAGACCAGTTAATAACAGGTATGACCTAATTAAATAATTTAATTTTTTATAAATTTATAAATAATATTGAAATTGATTAATGTTTAGAAAAAGCTAAAAAAGTCTACAATCACTACAAGAAAAAAGTTGAAAGTGATGTTTCTGCAACTGGTTTGGTAACACCTATTTAAATGCACTTTTACTCTTAGATATTATTATTATTGTACAACTTAATTTATTGAAAGAATATACTTCAGTCATTCAGAAAATTAGATACCGTAGGTGCAGTCTGTGTTGATGCCGCAGGAAATATAGCATCTGCTTGTTCTAGTGGGGGGATCATTTTAAAATTTCCAGGAAGAGTAGGACAGGTAAATTATTGAGTTTCATTAAATAAAAAATTAATAATTTAAATATAATTTATATTATAATAGGCAGGAATCTGGGGTAGTGGCTGTTGGGCGAGCAATGGAGGTACTTCAATAGGTACAAGCACTACTGGTTCTGGAGAGCATCTTATTCGAACACATTTAGCGCAAACTATCGCAAATTCCGTAGTAGATGCTGATTGTCCTACTACCAATTTGCATGATTCAATGCAAAAAAACTTTATTGGTAAATTTTCACAATTGCAGTTATTTGATAAATGAATCCAGAGCAAATATTTTTTCTTTTTTCCAGAATCAAGATATTTGCTAGGAATCAAAGAAAAACTTGGAGGTTCAATTGTCATCAGATACAATGCCCAAGATGATTGTGGAGATTTCTTATGGACCCACTCAACTAATAGTATGATAATAGGTTATATGAATGCTAATAGTAAAGGTGCAAAGGTATATCAGCTGTTCTATTTAAATTGATTTAATTAAATTTGTCTACAATATAACAATTTTTTACCATGTTTTGTAGAGTTATATGAGTACAATGCCAAACTCTGATGTTGGAAAAAAATGCATAGTCGAAGGTATAATGTTTAAGTTACATAAGAAAAGAAAGCGTACAAGTTAATTTGTTATATAAAAAATATTTGAATGTTAATTTTGACTGAATCTTTGATCTGAATTTGTATTATTAATTTGTAAATAAATAATATTAAAACTACTATTACCATAATTACAGTTTTTTCAATCACTAAATAATGTTAAAGGTCCTTTAATCTGACAATAATTGCAATTATTGGTCGTTGAATGAGGAATGATAAGTATTATCAAAAAATAAGTTACGGTTTCTTAAAATTAAACTTAAATAATGAGCGGGAAGAGACTGGAGTGCGCAGCAGTGCTCTGCCGCGTACGGCGCTAGTAGTAGTCGTTTCTGACAACGCTGAGTGAGACTGTCGTCTGTCTAAGACTTCAGTGTTTAGTCAGTTCAGTGTACGGTAAGAAGTAAGAACTATTATCGTGGTGTATGTGCAACACTGTTAACCTCCGAAAAATAGTGGCTTTATTCAAATGAAAATTTAATATTTATTAATTATTAATTGATAACGAGTATTTTATTCAAAATGAAAACACGATTTAATACATTTGATATTACGTGTTCCATCACAGAGCTTCAAAAGTAAGTACAAGTAACCTACAAAATTTATTTAAAAAAATAATAGAAATTTAAGTTACATTGTCTCAAAATATTAGCTTACCTAATGATGATTTTTTAACAGGCTCATTGGAATGCGGGTCAATCAAGTTTATGATATTGACAATAGAGCTTATCTCATCAGATTTCAACTCTATGAAGAAAAGCATGTCTTACTTTTGGAATCTGGAAATAGAATACACACAACTGGGTTTGAGTGGCCAAAAAATGTTGCACCATCTGGTTTTACTATGAAGGTATTTATTAACCATTTTTTAAAAGATTTTTATTGAAAATTTTATGATAATTATTTATTCTGTATTTTAGTTGCGCAAACATCTTAAAAATAAACGTCTTGAAAAGTTGGAACAAATAGGAGTTGATCGAGTAATTGATCTTCAATTTGGAACAGGAGAAGCTGCGTATCATATAATTTTGGAACTTTATGATCGTGGTAATATTATACTTACAGATTGCAATAGAATTATCTTGAATGTTTTGAGACCTCACACAGAAGGTGATAAAATTAGGTAGGTACTATTTTTAAAATAACAAATAAATATGACTTTGAAAACTTCATTAATATGAATATTTAGATTTGCAGTTAAAGAAAAATACCCTGAGTCAAGAGCCCATACAAAATTGATTCCTAGCTTGGAAGAGTTGCGGGATATTTTCAAAGCTGCAAAATCAGGAGAAACTTTGAAAAAAGTATTGAATCCTCATTTAGAAATAGGTCCTTCAGTGTTAGAACATATCTTGGTCACTAGTGGATTAGCTACAAATTGTAAAGTTGGAAATGATTTTGACGTAACAAGAGACGTTGAAAAATTTTATGAATCATTACTTACAACAGAAAAAATATTCAATGATGCTAGATCAAATGTCTCTAAAGGATATATTGTGCAGAAAAAACAATCAAAATATACAGAAGATGGGAAGGAAGAATACTTGTATGTAAATGTGGAATTCCATCCTTTTCTTTTTGAGCAATTTAAAGACAGACCATTTAAGGAGTTTGAAACATTTGACAAAGCTGTTGATGAATATTTTTCAAACATGGAAGGACAAAAATTAGATGTTAAAGCTTTACAACAAGAACGTGAAGCTTTGAAAAAATTGGAAAATGTTAAAAAAGATCACGAGAAAAGATTATCTTCATTGAGCGTTACTCAAGAAATGGATGTTATGAAAGCTGAACTGATTACAAAAAATCAGGAATTAGTAGACAAAGCTATTATTGTCATTCAAAGTGCTATTGCCAGCCAAGTATCTTGGGATGAAATAGGTATTCTATTGAAAGAAGCTCAGGCAAGAAGAGATCCAGTTGCTTCAATTATAAAACAGTTAAAATTAGAAAGTAATCATATTACGCTGCTATTAAGTGATCCATATGAAGAAGAAGATTCAGAAATTAAACCTACTTTGATAGATATAAATTTAAATTTATCAGCCTTTGGAAATGCTACCAAATATTATACCCAGAAACGGTCAGCTGCTTCAAAGAGCCAAAAAACAATTGAAGCGCAGGGAAAAGCTCTTAAATCAGCAGAGAGAAAAACAAAACAAGCCTTGAAAGAAGTGCAAACAATACACAGTATAAATAAAGTAAGAAAAGTTTATTGGTTTGAAAAATTTTACTGGTTTATTTCTTCAGAAAACTACTTAGTTATTGGTGGTAGAGATCAGCAGCAAAATGAGCTAATTGTTAAAAGATACTTGAGAGGTGGTGACATTTATGTTCATGCAGATATTTCAGGAGCAAGTTCAATTGTTATCAAAAATCCTGCCGGGGGACCTGTACCTCCAAAAACTTTAGCAGAAGCTGGTAATATGGCTGTAGCATACAGTGTTGCTTGGGAAGCTAAAGTTGTAACTGGAGCTTGGTGGGTTAATAGTGATCAAGTATCTAAAACGGCACCTACAGGAGAATATTTAACTACAGGATCATTCATAATAAGAGGAAAGAAAAATTACCTACCTCCCTGTCAACTTATTATGGGATTTGGATTCCTTTTCAGATTGGAAGATAGTTCTATTGAGAGGCACTTGAATGAGAGAAGAGTAAGAACCCTTGATGATGATGTAGATGTTGATAATGTTACTGAAATTTGCAATGAAATAAAAATAGAAGATGAAGACGACGAAGATATTCAAGAAGAGGATGAAGAAGCTGAACATTTTCAGAAACAAGACACACAACTGAATGATAAAACTGATGACGATGAATTTTCATTTCCAGATACTCAAATAAAAATAGACCTCTCTGGATCTGTAGTAAAATTACAAGTTGAAAAATCCAAGCCCATTGCAAAAGTAGAATATGCCTCTGAAGATGTTGTATTTCTAGGAGATGATACACCAATAAAAATAAACAATGAAGACAAAAAAGATGCATTAAGAAATTCGATGCCTAAAGTTCATTTTAAACAAGATCAAGCAGAAGAAGATTCCCAGAAAAAAAATCAGAATGCTTTAAAACGAGGACAACGAGGCAAACTGAAAAAAATGAAAGAAAAATACAAGGATCAAGATGAAGAGGATAAAGTACTTGCAATGGCTGTTCTGAAGTCTGATGGTGCATCTAAAAATAAAAACAAAAACAAGGACCCATCTGGCCCAAAACAAGTGAAGAAAAAGAAGCAGAAGTATAATCCTAATGAGCTTAGCATTCAAAGTGAGCCAAGTATTTCACAACCCCTTGAAAATATTGATGAAGAAGATTCAGGACCTGGACCTGAAGTTGATATGCTTGACCAATTTACTGGTAAACCAGTTCCTGAAGATGAATTGTTATTTGCAGTACCTGTAGTGGCTCCATATAGCACATTGACAAATTACAAATTTAAAGTGAAATTACAGCCAGGTAATGGCAAACGAGGAAAAGCTGCAAAAACAGCATTAGCTATGTTTATGAAAGATAAAAGTACTCTACCAAGAGAAAAAGATCTCATTAAAGCTGTAAAAGATGAATCAATTGCAAGAAATATTCCTGGCAAAGTTAAAATAAGTGCTCCTCAAATCCAGAAAATATCAAAAAAAAATTAAATGAATAAATGAGGAATAAAGTTGAAGCTTTAAATACTGAATATTATATTCTATTGTATATATTATATTATATTAAATATAAATGTTTTAGCATAAAAAGTTATTTCTTTCAAAAAATGGAAAGCAGTGTAAATAAAAAAATGTATTTTGTAATGATGATTGTTAAGTCTTTTAAGAGAGTATATTGATTTTATTATGAATAAAAATCTTAATACAAAAATAGAATAATGATTGCAGCATGAAGAGCATGCTGTTCAACAGTCATGGACAAACCTAAAGATATATCTTTTACAAATCAACTAGAATTTTTTCGGAAAAAAGACCTCGTTATTGCGATGAATTTTTACAACGTCTTATCTAAGTAAAGTTGCTTTACTTTTAAGTTATGTATTTTATATTAAAATTAATTAATCGATTCAATCGTCAAGACTTTCATCAAACATATCTTGATCGCTATCATAATTAGGCCTATCCGATACATTTTTTAATCTAGAAGACTTTCCTCGAGTTGTATGTGCTTCTGCAGATGTTCTTTTTGATGCCGCAGGACGAGATCTAGTTCCTTTAATTATAACCTGGAAAATTTTTAATGTAATTTTTTTTAACATTCATAACAAAATATATGATTTCAATCAATTCAGAAAAAGGTACCTCAGGTTCAGAATCGGATGAGTCATCTTTCACTTTTTCCACTTTTTTTCGTCCTCTTCTAGTTGGTGTAGTTGCTGCTGCAGTAGCAACTACTTTTGAAGCAGTTTTGGTTTTTCTTTTTTTTATTTGTACTACATATTCAGCATCACCATCAATATTTTCCAATAATTGCCTTCTCATATCCCGCCCACTCATACATCTTTCATCTAAAATAACAGAATCAACACTATCATTAAGACTGTCATTGGCTAGTACAGAGTCTATTCTTGGTGAATTTTTAGTCAAAGTAGTTTTTGTTTTAGAAATAGCTTTTGATGGGATGGATTTTGAAGGAGTTGCTCTAGATCTTGCCGATGCAGCTCTTACTGGAGTACTGCGAGTATTCTTGGATGCATCGTCGTCATCAGTATCGACAGATGCTTTCGTTTTTTTTGATGCTGTTACTGTTCTACCAGAAGTTTTGGAAGAAAATTCCAATTTGCCAGTTGTGGAATGATTCAGTTTTTGCAAACCTTGAGTGAGGATCTCTCTAAATTTTTTGTAGTTTGGATATTCATTAAATTCAAGATTAGCTAATAGTGTCATAAATTGGCTAATTGGTGCTGGAACTTTGGTTGAACCAAAGCATTTTTTCAAAAACGTTTGGTTATCATCAAATGCTTCATTCTTTTGTTGCTGAACTAATGATGGGTTTGATAGATTCTTTTCCCAAGGTAAAGTACCACATAACCATTGAACCATATTATAAAATAGTATTTCAAAATCACTTCTCATAGTTGGAACTAAAAAAATTTGTTTTAAGGATCAATTATTTCTAAATTGATATACAAATTCATAATTGAAAAATCATTTATACCTCCCATATGTGCATCTCGGCTAGTGTATTCTATTGTACCATTATGTGCTTTTTTGGGATCCAGTTTATATTCACTTTTTGTAGTATAATGTGATGCTAAACCAAAATCAACTAAATATACATTATTTTGTGATTTTAAATCTAATAATAAATTTCCTCCTTTGATATCAGCATGTATGTATTTTCTGTCATGAATATATTCTAAAACATTGATCTGTAACAAAATAATTAATTGAATAAGTATTGCATATAACTTTGTAATTAAACCGATTCTTACAATTTGCCAAGCCACTTTGTAAACAGTGTGCTCTGGAAACCTTCTTCCATTTTCCAAAAAAAGTTTCCACAAATCTGTACCATACCGTTCCATTACAACAAATCTATACTTTGTTCCATTACATTCATGACTACCAGAACCCAAGAATGGAGGCATACCTAATGTTGCAAGATTCTTTTCCTTTTTCCATTTGTTAACTAGAAATAACAAAATTATAAAATTAAAACTATCAGTTTGAGAATAATACATTTTTTAATAATTTATTTTATATTAAAATTTATACTCACTATCAGCTGGATTAGCATTACGCATATAAAAATGCATTTCTACAAATAAAGGTCCATTACCATGAGGTTCCTAAACAATAAATTATTTGATTCAAAATACATAATTTAAAAAGATATTTTACTTTGTAAAATCTATCTTACAATTTTTATGACAGCAGGATATTCACTGAGAGGTTTGTTACCATTCTCTGCTGGTACAGCTGAAACATGACAATAAAGTATTTTAAGAAAAGTGTTGATGTGAATTGTGAGTAGTAAATAATATTGAAAATACCACAATAAATCTCTCCAAAACCTCCAACACCAATGGAAGTGCCTATCTTCCATTTTTGTTTCCTCATATCAGTTAGTATTTCACCTTTAGGAATAGGATCGGGTAGTTTGTAGCCATTAGCTCCTTTTTTTTTAGGGGCTGCTTTTTTCGCGGTTGACATTTTTCTTGCAGAATTAAATCACAACAAATAAATAACTGTTTATGTAGGTTAAGCTTTAAACAAGTAAGCGTAACAACATATGAACACACACACAACAAAACTTGGAAAACTGGTGAACAAGAAAACCTTGATGTATATAATATATCGAAAAACGTTATGTTAATCAAGCACATTCACTTAGTAAATGTATACACTTAATAATTTAACTTTATTAAATTAAAATAGAATTAAAAAACTTGTTAAGAAGCCGGTTACCCCCCGAAAGCTTGGGTGACTGATGAATCGTATTATCAAAAAGGCGCGTAAACATTCGATCCGTGGTCACCTGTAGATCTTATGCTGTGCCACTACAAATAGTGTACAAATGTACAGCATGAAGCATGTTATAGAGACAGCACAGGGGCGCCAGTGGCAGGCCGCCGCAGCAGCAGCATCATTGGCGCGTTTCAGCTTTTTAAAAAGCCGGCAGACGCTGTTATTGAATGGATCGGCGAAAACCAACCGTCATTCTGTCGTCTCTGCATATGGGATAGGCGTGTTGCAATAGAACATCCGCAGAGCAGAACGTACTTTTAAATAAAATAGCCCACAAGGAACGAAACAAGTCATGACTTGTTTGCGGCCAGCTGCGGAACACTTCCGTATTCCGGCGTGATTGCTTGAAAGAGCAATTGCAGCAGTCCTTGCTCCGAACATGACGTTCATTTTAAATAACAGCAGACGCGAGTTGTGGTCGTGAATTCTGCGTCGAGTAATGTCTTGTGTGTACTGTGTGCGTGCGTATGTTTTTGTTATTGTCGACCAGCGCCGGCTGGCCGGTCCTAATCAGTTATATTCTTATACTATAATATAATACTTTCATCTATCTGTGTTGTTTTGTTGCGTGTAATACAGCGTCGAATTCGCCATACATATGTGTGAACACGTAGGAAAGAGCGACTTTGAATTATCCGAGCGTGGTGTTTTTATGTGTCCTGAATAAAAGTGCAATATATCACGCTTTTCCTGTCCACGAATGGAGGCAGCGTCGGATATGCTGTTACAAGAGAGCAATTCAGGCTCCACTAGGCCCATCGACACCTCGGTATCGAATAATGAAAATATATCCGATAACGAGTCAAACAATGGCAATTGTAATGGGGTCACAACTCCACAACAATCTCAATTCGAATTGAAGCAAATTGATAATTCTATTTTCAATACAATATCAAAGATTGTCAATCGAACTGCCAAGGTACAATCAACAATTGAAATTATATGCTTATGCCACTGTTGTTGCTCAACATTTTTTCCTATTGCAGGTACCAGAGATTCAAGATTTCAAAATTGTCAAGCCTATTAGTCGAGGGGCATTTGGGAAAGTTTTTCTGGGTTATAAAAAAACCAATCCAGACCAAATCTATGCTATTAAGGTGATGAAAAAGAACGAAATGATTCACAAAAATATGGCATCGCAGGTGGTAATAGAGAGGAATGCCTTAGCATTGGTAAGAAGTCCTTACTGTGTCCAACTTTTTTATTCCTTACAATCGGTGACCAGTGTGTACTTAGTTATGGAATATATGGTTGGAGGAGATTTAAAAAGTTTACTTGGTATGTATGGCTACATGGAAGAATCAATGGCTGCATTTTATACAGCTGAAGTTTGTCTGGCACTCGATTACCTTCATTCACATGGTATTGTACACAGAGATCTTAAGCCAGACAATATGCTTCTTTCCAAAGAAGGTCACGTAAAGCTCACAGATTTTGGTTTGAGTAAAATATCATCACTGCATCGAGACTTGGAAATTTCAGATTTAGTTAATTGCACTCCAAGCTTATGCACTCGTACTCCAGGACAGCTGCTGTCGCTTACTTCTCATCTGACGTTTGATTCGTTGGGTATGAAGACGACTATGAGTGCCAATGACTCAAATCTTAATACAAGCGACCGGAGCAATCCAGCAGTTGATCTGCTGCCAGAACTACAGATGCGAGGAAAAAATCGTATGCAGGAATCATCGAATTCCATCGCATCGGAGGTTCAATCAGGTGATTATTCGCGTGTCTCTGGGGTCACTCCATTCCAATCAGTTGAAGATATTCGAGCGTCCGTATTTCCGAGCACCAATAGCTCCGAGGCCAGTAGTTATCACACGGCTCATTCTTCGGGTCAGTCGACCATGTCATCTCAAGTAACTACAGGAAGTGGGAGTAGGATCAGTGCCGACGCAGAAGATGAATCGACCTTGGAAGCAGAGCATTTACATCACCACCCGTTGCCTCATCACACGAGTCCATTGAGCAGTTGTAGAAATAAATTGTCTCGAGGCACCAAACGAAAACGCACGCAAAGCCATACTCACGCTAGTACAGGTTTGACTCGGGAAATTTGCCTTTTAGGACTGGATGGTGACCTCACACCAAAGAGAAAAAATCGAGGTTCAGGCTCGAACTATTCGGCCTGTCGGAGTCCACCCATGATCGTATCGACATTTAGACGCAGAGTCCAAGAAGCCGACGGCACTTTAAAAACTGATCAAAATGGAGTCCGAGTCGCTTTTAGTACACCGGTATCGTCGACCAAGCGTCGTCCCGAGGTCGTCGCGGTTTTTAAGAAAGAAGAAGAAAAAGCGCCATTCGTCAAGTCAACGAGATTCGATCTACCCCCGAGCAATGCGACGCCCGACAAAATGACATCGAGCGACGTTTCTCTTTCCGGCAGTGAACTGCAAGCCAGACACAGATCGCCCCAAGGCATATCGCCGATCAAAACGCCCGCACCGTCAGGAAATAATTACACACCTTACAGGACACCAAAGTCGGTCCGAAGAGGGACTCAAGGGATTGGTCGATCCGATGACAGGATTCTTGGCACGCCGGATTACTTGGCGCCAGAATTGCTCCTACGACAAGGTCAGGACAGATAACATTTGAATTAAATGATTTAATACGAAAAACCAATTGTTCTATTGCTCTATAAACTAAAATTAATATTATCATCAGGTCATGGTCCTGCGGTAGACTGGTGGGCTCTGGGTGTCTGCCTATTTGAATTTTGCACTGGAGTACCGCCGTTTAACGATGAGACTCCTCAAGCCGTGTTCTCGAATATTTTGGCCCGTGACATTCCTTGGCCCGAAGGCGAAGAAAGTTTATCGGCAAATGCGATGGAGGCCATCGATAATTTACTCACTTTAGAACAAAACATTCGACCCACTGCCAAAGAAGTGAAGATTATGAAGCTCTTTGAAACATTTCCATGGGATGAACCGTCAAAAGCTCAGCCACCCTTCGTACCACAGCCCGACGATTGTTACGATACTTGCTATTTTCAAGGTAGCGGAATAATAATTTTAGCTTTCTTACAATATGATAATTTTATTATTAATAATTTTTATGTTACTCAATTTGTAAAGGAAAAAAATTATAAAATATTTGCTTTTATTTTTCAGCGCGAAATATCTTACAACATCTAAACGTCAGTAGCTGCGATACATGACCACCGGATCGTCGGATACTGTTACAATTTTAAATCAATCGAATTTTAGACGAATATATCTATTGTGATTTTTTTTATTATTATATTTATCATTCATTTTATATATATTCGTACACAAGCATACACGTATAATACGAAGGGCTGTTCTTAAAAATAATAGTCAGACGTTTCGATAAAATAAACAAAAAACCAATAGAGTAACAATAAAAAAAATTATATCATCAGAAAAAAACCACAGAAGTTGTGATATAAGCTACCACATAGAGAGAAATTCTCATCGTGTTCACGTCTCGCATTTTGATACCGCGAAAGACAATTTTGATGTAGATGAGATAAAAAAGTTCTCGAAGAGTTCAATAAGTTTGACGTATTTAGAACAAATCGATTAACATAAGCCTTACTCTTTGAGAAAAAATTAAATGAGAAATTATTTTTAAAACAACTTAGAAGCTAATATATTAAAAAAAAAAATGAAATTATTGTCGAAAGAGATCAAGAGAATTCTACTGACCAACGCGATAGTAATCGTTCGTCACGAGTAATTTCACTAAAGAAGAACTAATCTTTACTATGACTATGAAAGAAATGTACGGCGCTTGTTGGAGAAAGCCAGAATCAGATAAAAATGTAAAATGTTTATTTTAAATTCTTGGAAATCCAGGGGAGAAAATGCGTCACGCGTGTATAGACACCTGGAAACTGGCCTTTTCCACATCCGATACCCCAGCTGACGATGCCTACTTGGGTCCAGCGGCCGTCGTTTACCATCAGAGGACCGCCACTGTCTCCCTATTGAAATTCGAAAACTGGATCATATAACCGGCACAGATTACAGCCATAAAAAAAGAAAAAAAATGGATAAAAACTTACCGAGCACGAATCTTTCTCCGCCTGTCCAGCGCAGAGGAAGCTCTCAACGATTCCGCCTGGCGCAAAACTTCCATATTTCTGCTTACACACAGCGTTGGACCAAACGGGAATTGTTACTTGCTGCAATTTTCCTGGTGCTGGGCCCCCTTTATAATTAGCAAGAAGAAAAATATTTTATGTATTTTTGTTACGCACACTATAATGTATTATAACGATCTTCATTCCATGAACTAGTGACCTAATGTATCATTAGAAAATTGTAAATAGCATAAAATACGAGATAAAGAATAAATGAAATGTTCAGTTGAAAAAAAAGGGTACGAAGGTTGATGAAAAGAGTTTGCACCTTCTCTGAGCGATCCCCATCCTATGACCGTAGCTCGTTTGCCAGAGTAAAGATTGGCGCCCGATGGTAGGCAAACAGGTCTGATGGTCTCACTGAACTGCACCGGCTCGTTGAGGGTCAGCAGAGCCACGTCGTTGTACAGGGTGCGCATGTCGAATCCTCGATGGCGCACCACCCTCTGGACGCGCCTCTCGACGTGCCTCACCTCGTTCGGCGTCTTGATGTCATAGTCGCCCAAGCGCACAGTCAGACGCGCCACGTCCCACGAGGTCATTCTAAAAGTGTAATCGCGGACGGAAGTGTAATTAGCTGCGATCGGAGCGAGAAGACGACGACGAGGCTTGGACTTACTGGGCGACGCAGTGAGCGGCGGTGAGTATGTGCCTGTCGTCGATGAGCGAGCCACCGCAAATGTGTCTGCCCGCGTTGAATAAACCAGCGATCCAGGGCCACTCGCCCGGTTGGGTGGTCGTTCCTCCGACGATTTTGCCGGAATCTTGATCTCCGTTTTTAGCGCCACAGGATCCTCCCAGAGACGAGGGCGGGAACTGCTGAACGGGGCCCGGGGTCGTCGGTATGGTCACGATGGGCACGGTGGGCCGCGAGACCAGCGAACTGCTCGGCGGGTACTTGGTGGGCCAAGTGGTCGGCGGCCTCGTGCCGAAGCCCGGCGGATGAGTGGGCAGCGGTGGAATCGTGTGGTACGGCGGGTGGGTCGGCAGCGGTGGTGGCCAGCTGCCCTCGATCGGGTAGCGCCCGCCTCGGTCTTTGTTGTCCAGATTCGTCGTCTAGATGGGCACGAGGAGGAGGCGATCGAACTTTATTTCACTCGTTTCCGAGACAAAGCCCGACTCGCGTGCGCGCGTCGTGCATTGAAATTGAAATTGAGAGAAAAAAAGGGCGAGCTAATTTTGTTTCGAGACGCGAAGCTTCGACGGAACCACATTCCGCAAACCAGTTTTGTTGGCGCGTCGGAAAAGAAAAAGCTCGAGTTGGAAACAAAACATGTGCGCATCGGCGGATCGACCGCGAGAGGTGAACGACTCTGCATCGATCGAGTCTGGCGAGTCTCGCGGCGCATAAAGCTGCGCAGCCGAGCTGACTTACCAATTGGTCGTTGTCGTCGTCGGCGGGCTCGACGATCGGTCCCGCTACGTCGTCGCTCGGTGCAGCGGCCGAATTGGCCGGCTCGGTCGTCTGGCCAGGCTCGATCGGCAATTTGGGCGGATCGGCGCAGCAAATGCCGAAGCTGAGCCGGCCGTTCTGGACATAGCTGCAGGTGTCGTAGATGCCCAGGACCCAGCCGTCGAGGGCGCCGATGTCCGGTATCTTGAAGTAGGGGAAGCACTCCTTGAAGGTGCCGCATTTGCCGACGGCGCCTTTGGCCGTGAGGCAAGCGCCTCGATCGTCGAATTGCATCTGGCGGGCGGCTCGGGCCGATTCGGCCAGCGGAACCAATTGGCCATCCGCCATGGCTGAAAATCACTCGTATTGCATGTGTAGCCGGACGAAATCGGACGAAATTTTGCCTCAATGAAGGATAATCGCGAGACGCGTCGTTGCAGCTCGTGCGCGCGCTCTCCGTCGACGCTCGGGTTCGCTGACGAGACCCGAGCACGTATTATCTGCATCGCAGAGTCGTAATCGCGACGAGTGCAGAGAGAGTGCGAGTGAACAAGTAGACGGGTTTCCATGATATTACGTCGGTAAATGCGCATTTGTAGACAGTTATGTGGTAACCGATCTTGTTACACGCACGTGGCACACTCTCGATTGTTTTCGTCGACTTTCATCGGGCGAAAGCGTCGCGCAGCGATCATAGAGAATGATTCGAACGAGCGAGCCAACTGCTCGTGACGCGACTTTCGAAATTTCATAAGGGGACAAATGCATTCGTCTTACCTTCGATGACGACTGCATCGGAGCTGCTCGAGTCCTGGCTATTAGCTACCTGATGCACTGTTTTGGGCCCGCTCCATTTGGCCTCGGGGTAACCGATCACTGTGACGAAACAACTCGCGGCAAAGAGCAAGTGGCACAAAATCGGCACTGCTCGGCCCATCGTCTTGACACCTTTGGCCTTTCTTCGCGATCGCATCTGCGCCTCGATTAGAAACTAGACCGCGCAACAGCGACCGTTCTGGCTTCCTACGTGCTCTCCGCTGACTCGTTTCTTCCTTTACTCGCGCGCACGCACGTTCTGTGCCTCGTACAAAGCCCCCGAATCGTCGATTCACCAGCTTTATAACGGGCTTGCCCTTCCCCTCTTTCTCTAACTCATTCTCGTTGCTGCTGCTGCTACTTCTCTCTTTGCTGCTCTTCTTCTTCTTCTTCTTCTTCTTCTTCTTCTTCGTCGTCGTCTTTCTCCGCTTCGTGCATCGTAGTTGCGCCTCTTGTACACAAGCTGCCGATTTGCTTTTTCCTATATTTTTTCTGATGAGCACACATGCGTACAATGTCCATCGACATCTTGTAAAACTTGAAGCTAGCTTGTTTTATCTACATCACGAGGATCCTTTCGAGGATATGGGATTTTTTTGCTCCGAAAAATTACAGGCCTGCGGCGAGCCTTTTTCCTACTCGTGACTTTGACGTTGCAACACGTTACTCAACAGTCTCCAACTTGCTTTTTATTATCGTAATAATAGCTCATCAAATTCTAATGCATTTTCTAATAATTTCTCAAAAGATCGTTCGAGTCTGATCGGCAAGAAATATGAACATGTCAATATTTTTATCCCGTCTTAGAGAAAATCATACGACGATGGTAAGTTATTGTATACAATCGTAGATTTCGAAATCTAAGCTGTCATCCCAAAAAAGGCTTTGAATTTCTAATGATTGATGTCCTACGCTACTTAGTGTGCTAATCCAAAAGCTTCATTTTTGCTCGATCTTTCTTGACTCTGGAATAAAACAGATTGCGGTCTCATAAACATTCTTGCACCAACAATTTCTACAATTTACAAATAAATAAAAAAGAAGAACTAATGAGAGACCACATCCACTACACTCTGAAAAACAATTATGCAAACATCAATATCATTTTGATACTTTCTATAACGTATTGGAGGAGGCATTTAAAAGATGGAGCACAATCAGCTCGCAGAGTGCACTCGTTTAAGCTGATTCCGCTGATCTATGCTTGCTACTAGATGATTTCTTCTCTGAATCGATTTCACAAAAGAAGAAGAAGAAGAGTAACAAGATCTACTCGACACCAACATATAGATGCAGAAACGTCGGATGAGATTCTACTGCTGTAGCTGTCGCTGTAGTTGCCGCGGTGGAAGGCCATTAACACGGCTCATTATTGGCCTTGGCATATCGGTGTGCGGCCGTGAACTTGCCCTTGCAGATCCGTGCCTGTACAGCACTTATGTATTCATAAAATAAGACTTTGTGCCAGCAAAGCTGTCACTTGTAATAATGGAGTAAAAAAGATATTTTCATCCGAGCGGCTTTTACTCTCGACCTTTTCATGTTAATTGTCCTCTGCGCGAGTTCAAGTTTTTTTCGCTCTCTCTCTTTCTTTTTTTTCGCGTGCACGAAGATGAGGTAATGTTTGCGTCTCACGGCTAGTATAGTGCAGCCTTTGTCAATATAGAGACAAAAAATACTTTCTCAAATTCAGAGAAGCGATGGCTCTTTCTCAGCTGCTATAAACGTCAATCCAATGCTAAACTTGACTCTTGTAAACTCCGCTCTTAGAACAATGTTTGCTCGTGGCATGGCAAATTTTCAGAACAAAAATGACGCGTACGTACGAGCGACAAAATTACCGATTCGATCGAACATTACAAAACCCATATGCCAATGCGTGCAGTGAATTATTCAATTGGTGGTCGCTGCATGCAGGACTCGGCGCGTTCGAAGCCGCAATAAGCCACTAACCTGATCAAGGTTGCGAATTCCAATCTTGACTTCATCATCGCTTGGACTCTATATGCTTGTCATTATTCAAGATCGCTGATATCGATAAAAAAACTAATGACTTCGCTTCTGACTCATGTTTTGTGCGCATCAAATTGGTCAATACGATTCTCTACACTATATATCCTTTCCGATCCTATGTCGCACGCATTATTGTCCCGATAAGCTGCAGAAAAATCATTTGACTGATGTATGAGATATGGGTGCTTGCTTGAGTCACGGGTATGGATCGCAATGAATGATTCGCATGTTATTCGTGAGTTTTGTGCAAATTAAAAAAAAAGTCGATCGCCTGAATTTTTCCCTTTTTCCGCCAACACGAGCGCTGATGAACCATTCACTCGGCCGATAACTACCGGATATGCACTTCTTCCTCTACCTTTGCATTCTACCTCAGACACATACACGAGCGAACGATAAAACAAGTAGTCAAATGTTAAGCGCCTTCGAGAGCAAATAGAAAACTGGTTTTGATTTCGCTGTGATGTATATAATGTGCATATAAAAGATATCGAAAGAAAAAGAAACAATCGATTATATTAAAGTGCATGCGTGGAAGTACACGCGGTCGTTTTTTCTCTCCTTTTTTTTGTTCAAAAGCTATAAGGAGAGATGTTTACAGTAACTGGATTTTCTACGCATCTCGTGTGATTCGCTCTGTTAATATCGATGATGATGACTACACTAATGGAAATTCGATGAAATGAAAAATTCGAAGCACACGTGATCGCGCCCGACCAAACACTCCGAGTTGAACGACACTTTGAGGCATTGACATTTATTTGCGTTCTCAAAAACTTACAAATATTAAACTGTCCACATTCACACACAAACACACGTGAGTGACGCTCACTCTTATTTGCTCATTGTGTTATAGGTCGTACGCGAGAAAAAAATTTAATGCTTCAAATAAGTACTCCAGGTATCGATAGTAATTTCGAATGTCGGTGCTTAAGAAAAATGTGCATGACAGTGGAAATAAGAAGATGAACTTTTAGTGATTTATAAAACATACTCGTATATTTATTGTTATGATATGAACAGATTATAATAATAGAAAAGACCAGACAAAATATTGTCAAATTCTTGCAACTAATAGTTGACCTTAGTCTCCTCTAATATAATATCATTACATTTTCGAACAGAATCTCGATGGCAAGACCTAGCGTAACGTCTTAAAATATACATTTCATCGAAGACAGATAAATATATCATTAGAATAATAAAAAAAATATGCATCAGAAAAATGTAATTTTTCATACATCGTTATATATCAATCGATCAACCAATCAACTCACTAACATTTACACTTAATAACATTTCTGACCGAAACGTCAGATATTTTTCTTTTTCTTAACTCAATATTTGTAAGTTTTAACTCAACTTATAACGTTTTACCGATCTATTTTCTGTGTTAATTATGATACAAACAAATATTACTTTAAATCTATTTTATGTTTACGCCACTTGCAGTAATTTTGATTTGTTTCATTTGTGAGTCATATGATACATTAATTGATTGTAATTTCAATAATCTATTATACTAATATATCTTTTGATAAAGATAAATTTATACATTACCCAATCGTAATTTTAACAATCTATTAAACTATTATATCTTTTGATGTAAAGATGTGAATTTATAATTTTCGTCAGTAAAAATTAATAATGAATAGCCTAGACTGTATGCATGTCGATGAATTTTTCGCACAATATTTATTAAAATATATCACGAAGACCACGTTCAATTTCACGTTCCGTCTTATTTTCTTTATTTACATCTCAACTACTTTTGATTTATACAATAGATTGTAAAAAAATATATAGTATATAATAAAATATTTACATACAAATTTTTTTATATTAAAATCTGAGAAAAAATATACATAATCGTCAGGGAGCTTTTTCTGCACGAGATCATTGAATAAAACAATTGATTGTTTGTAAGCAATTTTCCATTCAATTCATTCATTAGAATATAGTACGACTTTAATATATCGGGTGATATGCATTTTACAGTACCCAAAATTTCTTTAACGAATATCACGGCTTCCATAACGACTCGCTTATTCAAATTATTAAAACTTTTTTTTCGTGCATGTTTATCGTACATCATACAAAATTATTTATTCATGCAATAAAATATAGTAATGCTTCGTAGCTATTTAGTTACAACATTTGTATTTGACGGAGCAAATAATATATTTCATTATCACAAGTAACTCAGAAATTCATGCATACACATTCAGTTTCGCTTGACAATTTTTAACGCCCTTTGTTTTTCATGTAGGATTTAAGAAAATCAGGTAATACAATTTAATATAATCTGGCCATATTTTAATTTTTCCATTACCTACATGCATATATTTTACAACTTCTCTCAATACAATCAATATAATGATATTTAAGAAGTGTTTGTGAAAAACTTATGTCGCATCTTAATACCTAATACATCTGTACATCTTAAGTTACTGTTATTCAATGCCACATAATCGAATTTCGAGTTTTTCAAAACAATTTATATGAATACAATGAATTTTTTACAATTAAATTAGCCTTCTGTGTAGTGAATGTATGGCACTAATTGATTTTAAAATTGTTAATTTTATTTGCACAAAATTTAAGAAAAAACCTTATTATTGGGCAAATTTAGCACACTTTTCCGAAATGGAGAATAAAATTTTTAACGATTATAATAATACAAGGCATCTCCATGTCTTTTTTTTCCTTGGATTGAGAAAAGTAACAATTATATGTTATTCAATTTATGAAATAAAAAAGAATATTTTTGTTTAAAATGATAATTAAATTCAACGCTTAAAACTTAAGTTAAAATTATGGCAAATTCAATTGAATCACGGAATGTACAATTCAGTAATAGATATAATTAAAAAATTCGATACGGGATTGTTCGTAAAATTTTTTAATTAAATCTATGTAAAAAGACTTAACAAATAACGCGATAAATTTTAATAATTTATCAATAAACATTTTATTACGCTATCAATCATTGCACACACATCGTTTCAATTTCATCGGTGAAATTAAATTATTTTTTATGCTACGTTTATATATTATCTGTATATACGAATAATTTACGCACACTTATCCGCAAATCCGTACCAAAATATATTTTTTTAGTATTCTATCCTAAAAAGCGCAACTATGCAGTTGCTTTTCGTCTTTCTTATAAGAACGCAACGTTTGCGAATTTTGCTTTTCCAACAGAACCTATTACGACACTGGTCTGCGATTCGTACCGTAACGACTCTTTAGCTTGAAAAAGCGTATCGTTAACTGTTGCACAATCCAGTAATTTACACCAATCAAATTTGAACGATTGGATAACTCATCTTTGACGCTCGAAGTGATCAATCAATTTTCACAGATTTTATGATTAAAATAAATTATAAGCAAATAATTTACATCTTTAGAAATTTAAATGGTCATTTTGACAAATATGTAATATGAATTAATTAATTTTAGTCTTCGAAATCAATCTGTACATTAGATGCAATTAAACAAGATATAACTAACAACAAGAATGATTATTTCAAATGAATTGGTTCTTTAAATAATTTAGAGCATGTAAACTATGAAAATTGATTAATTTTAACAAATTCATTTCTGAAACCACTCAAACAAAAAATAATCATAACGATTCGTGTGATGTCTTATTCTTTTCATAAAATACAGTGTAAAAAATAACACTATAACAATGATAATTAAAAAATAAAAATAATATATTTTTTAAAACTCCATTCACTGATATAGAAATAATTTATAACTGAAATACATTCAACGCCCAGTTCAGTATCAATCTATAAACACTATTTATCATTTCATTCAGGGTTGTAGGCTAGAAGTCGTAATTGTACGCGGTAGTTCTTCTAGAACAATGTCGACGTAGACGTTATCATTCGGATTAGACGGCGACCCTGGAACTGTACCTGATTGTGGCTCTTTTCTGTTTACGATTGAGAACAAAAATAAGTCTTGGTCGATGTAATGCCGTACCATATCATCATCCATTAGAACAGTGATGCTGTTGAAAAAAGAAATGATGATCATTAGTACAGATTTACTCAAACGTCTGATGTTTGAAAGTTAAATATGAAGTGAAATTTGAATGGATATGAATAAGAATAGTTGGCAGCATTATGTTTTCACATTTTTGATAGTAGATCATTCACAAAAACATTTATTTAGAGAGTTAAAAATTGTACAAGTATTAAAAATAGGTTTGCAGATGTGCAGCTAATATTAACGCTGAAGTCAAATAAACTTCAGTCAGTCGAAGAAATTATAAAGAAAATTTCAGATGAAACATAAATAGCGAAATCGATTGCGTGAATTTACAGATGGTGACAGACAATTTACAAAAAAAAAATATTTCTCAATCTTTTGTGCAAAACTTACCCTTCGATATTTTTCCTTAAAATGTTACATATTTGTGCTCTTGGGAATTTAAACTTTGACTCTATCTGTAAAATAGAAAAAAGTAGAATATTAAAAATTGAAAAGCCATTTGAATTTCTCTTAATTTCTCTCTTCTTGGCGTCATTAATTTTTTAAATAAATTATATGAGTCAATGAAAGAGAAACATGAATAAGTAATGGAAATATTTAATTTCAAATTTTACAAAATTTCTCAATTACTATGTATTTTTCCACTTTTTTCTGAGCCGTCAACATCTTTATTCCAAATGAATCAATGTGTGCATATGTGTTTTGATCGAGGATCAATGACACGTGACTTGATTAATTAATGATGAAGGGCCCAGCAGGAGATCAATGAATTTGCATTAATGATTAGCATGTACATAATAATGCGATGATTGTAGATTATTAATTATACATTGATACTGTGACACGACGTGTTTTTTTTGTGCATGATTACTGTGTGCGTGATTCGTTTTGCGCGTTTCTTCATTATAAAATGATATAGGTCCTACATCCCAGATTATTGATAAACCAACGGTATCGTTAAAATTGCATTAAAATATTATCACTGATAATCTTTTTCTTTTTTATTTCATTCAACACAGATAGTGCGTGTTAGATATATCAAGCATGCTATGTTTGTTATTGAGTTTTTTTTTTTAATTTCAGCGATTCTTTATCAATAACAAGTAACCATTTAGGATTAGTTTACAATGTATTAACTAAAGAGTTAAAATTTTTGTTAATTTTACAAAATACATTGTTAAAAAATCATAAAGGAAATTACCTAAGTAGTTTTCTGTGAGGTGGGATCTGAAGGATTTACTATCAGACTCCGATATAATGTCCTGAAGATTCCTGTGCAAAGTACGTTAAGCATTTTCCTTTATGACTTTTTACGAACGAAATGCGTTTGTTTTTAAACTTTAAAATACGAGAGCTAAAAAGGAAAAGTTGAAAGGAGAGACGCGGTAGAGAATAAAAAGAATTACGCGGACAATGCCTAGGTATAGACAATGGATGTTGTACCGATGCAAAGTTTAGAATAATTTTCTCAAGTCAAATGCATATATTTATCGGAGGATCATGTTGCCGAACGAATTGCAGATTGATTAGGAATACTTACAGCATTAATGAGCGCCTGGGTAGTCGGGGGCGTCACGTGAACCGGTGTGAAGATCTGATCGTTCTGCTGCCTGATGTAGAGCATCAGTCGGTCGCTCTCTCCTCGCATCTGGGCCATGCGCAGACGGTTGCTCGGCGGCGAGGGGGTCGGCATCGAGCCCTGCAGCTCCTGCACCTGCATCATCATGTTGTCCTTTTTGTCATGCAAGTTAATTTGATCGGGCGGAAAGTGATTGTGGAACTTGAGGGCCGGCAGGCTCGCTCGGCCGTTGCCGTAGGGACTGGCGGCCTTCAAACCGCTGCTCTCGCCGTTGCTGAGGGACGACGTATCGGTATCGGGCCCATTAGCAGCGCCAGCGCTACTTCCTCCGCCGCCATAGTAGCCCGACAACTCCATTGGCGAAAACTGAGCGAGAAACATCATTTTTATATAAGCTTATCTTACATAGTTAACACATTATTAAAATCGAAATTAAATTAGAGTTGCGGTTAGTGTGTTGGGCTTTGGCGACCGAGGAGAGCAACGTAAGTTTGGTTTACACAATCTTATGCGCACTGTCATCGTCCCATTACCGCCATCATCCAAATTTCCCGATCGATCCCGACTCGATCCATGATTAAATTTTTATCCGCACGTACCTTGTCAATGGAGTTCTCGGCCGACGGAGAGAAGAAGACCGGCGGTTTGTTCAGCTCGGACATGGTGTAGAATTCCGAGCGCTCCGTGCTCTGGTGGTACATGTCCTCGTTCTTTTTGCGCCCGTTGACGGCGAGCTTCCGCTTGGCGGCTCGCCTCTCCTCGTCGCGGGTCTTGCGCTCCGCGCCCTTGTCGCAGAACACCTTGATCTGACAGTAGGCCCGATTCTGTGGTGGGCTGTAGCCCGCGTGAGACGACGACAGATCCTCGTAAGTGTCTATTTGAATGTGCAGCGGCAGTCCCTTGACTCCCTTTTGACTCGAGAAGTCTGTGCTGAGGCATTGCACGGCTACGTTGATCTGTAACCCAAGTAAGCATACGAATAAGGTAAGAGCAACACTTTGGCCGCGAGCAGAATGAGCCTGCGCTTTTGCACCCATAACAATGGCCTATGTATAATCTATCTTTGTACCTTGGCCGGAGATTCCGATGGAGTCCAATAAACAGCGATGGCGTTGTGCGCTACCTCTTCGATGTGCCCAGTCAAACCCACGCTGTTTTTAGTGTCTGCAAAACAAAACATGCTTCTGTATATTCAGCATTTTCACGCTGCTACGCGTATTGCAACGCGCGCCAGAGTAAAGCTTGCAGATGAAGAGGCAATGTAAAAAAGCAAACATTTGCTAATGCTACTGTTCAAGCGTCGCGCAGAATGGAAAGCTTCAAAATAGTCAAATGAAAACATAACATCGTGCTTGGACGGGGTATAATTTCAGCAGGTAAGCTCGAAAGCTTCGGCAAAGCCAATAGAATAAAAGTGCATAGGTTTGAGCGAATAAAAAGTCAAGCTACAATTAGGACAGTTTGCACCACCACCTTACCCTTGGAGCGAAAAAAAACTTGAGAATTTCTTGCTGAAATCCTGCGAGTCTGCACGAGCGAAATAGAAAATATTCTTTATGTTGTAGGCATATAATTTATGCATAATGTACATCGAAGAGTGTACGTGATAAAGTGAGGTATTATTATTACCGGCATCGAGAATTCGCTGCTTGACCGAGTGCTGTCGACCGTGCCAGAATTGCCAAGCCTTGATCTCATCTTCTGCGGATTTTTCTTCACGGAACATAAGCATGATGACGCTCTGCGCAAATAAAAAACATTAACATAGTTTCACGTTAATATACATGCTATAATGCATAAGTGCTACGTGCTATAGGTAGTGGTCCCGTGCTCGGCTCGGGATTATTCAAATTGCATCTGTCTGCGTATAAGATTATCATTAATTTTGCTCCCGATGCTCTTGTTTTCCCTTTCGGAAATTCGCTCGCGAGGAAAAATAAAAGAAAATTGTTTATCGTCGACGGCACGCCGCGACATTCTTGGCCACTGCTACCGTATACCATATATCATAGCTGCTGCTGCCGCCGCCGACACTGCGCGCTACAGTGACATCGCATATAGCTGCATACGACCAGCTAGTCTACATGCGTATCGCATATCAGCTCGCGTAAGGCGATATCCGCGAATATTCGCGCAGGCCGTTATAAGTATAATATTTTCCTTACTTCTCGAGTCTTTTCTTTTTTTTTTTTTTTTTTTTTTTTTTGACACGCCAGAGCGACTTCGTAATTTTATTTCGAAAGAGCCAACAGGGACAAAAAGAAGAAACTAAATCATCTCTAATTAAAATATATCAAAAGAGCGGAGTTTCATCGCGGATATTACGTACATCATCGTCGTGTAGTTCAATTAAACGCGATAAATAAGGAAGTGATACTCGGGAAATCGACTTTACTTTACTCGGCTAAAATGTTGATTTTTTGTACTTGCATTCGCGTACATAGTTTATGTAGCCAAGTACGTGGTAGGAAATTAAAGACGTCGTTCGCACGTATAGATGATCTTGCGAGAGAGAGAGAAAAAATATCTACTGCAAATAGTGAAAAGCATCCGGTCTCCTCCGGGCAGTTTTATAAAGCTCTCTGAGGTACTGGCGAGCTCCCGCGAGGTGATATAACGTCGCGCAGGGAGAGAGAGAGAGAAGAAAGCTGCATAAAAAGGCGAGAGCTTTATCGACGCGGGCAAAATAGCCGCGGCGAGTTTTTAACTTTAATTGGCGCGTTTAAATAGACACGCGCCAAGCTGCAAAACGACCTCATTCCTGCTGCTCGTATACAGGCGTTTTTTGTCGTTGTTGTTGCGAGCACATTTTCTTGTATTACTACGTTGTCGCGTGTGCGACGAGTGCGACTACTCGAGGTGGGACGAGCATTTGAATTGTTAAAAGGCTCCGTTTGTGAAAGATACGCGCAGAGAAAGCTTCGTGCTTTCGAATTTGTAAAAGCGCTGAGATGCTGTCGAAGATTTTCAGTTTAATTGCCGCGCGATTCGCAAAGAGCAGCATCGCCAGCACTTCTTTTCTCTCCCGTGAAATCCTCTCGCCAATGACTTTTTTCCTACGAGCGACCATACCGCTATGCGATGCTATGTCGCTTGCAGCACATCTCTCCATTACGGCCAGTCTAATGAATATTATTGCGCTCGAAGAAGGACCAGATACAATACGTGTATTGCTTACCTTTACTGTCTGTCCCGGCTTGAAATTAGATGACTTGTCGGGATCGGGCGTGTAGTCTAGCGTTATTCCATAAAATTGTCCTTTGTTGATGTAGGTTATCCGATCGTCTTCCCGTCTTTGAGACGTGCTGATCGGCGATTCCAAATAATACTTGTAGCCGTAGCGCGAGTAGCTGCGAAAGGAAATTATAAGAAATGCCTGAATAAATATAATAATAACAGCTATCAGTGCAGCTAGTACAGCTGGGGCAGGCATTTAATGACGAGAAATCGATCGATTATCGAGGCATGTGTCATTGAAAAACTTGAAAAGAAAGTCAGCGCATGCAGTAGTAGCGCCCATGCGCGTTAGCCCGCGGCTCTGGCCACACGACGAGTGACGAGAGAGCTCCACCTCGACATTTTTTCCCCGACTCGGCAGATTATCATCTGTTTTAAGGACGTATTTTTCGCCGGAAAAAATGTTCAGGTGGATCGACGCGAAAAAAGTCCAGGCTTACGCGCATCCAATGTTTTACTGACAGGCTCGGTCCGCGAGTCGATTTAGATGAATCGTTTGTGAAAGTTTGCGACTACGCGCACTTGTAGGCGCGCTAACGTATATACGCGTCGCGTGCAAGAAGCACCAAGAGGCAAAGAAATAAAAAATTGGAATTATTTACGGCACGTGCGTCTGATTCGACCGGGCAATTAAAGCAATTTGCGAGTGATTATTCCACGAAGGAAGATTTTTAATTAATTATTTGAGATGTTTGAGATTCAAAGTGCCGAGATCCAGTCGGGCGAAATTTTCTGCGCCCGACGCTACCGTTTCGTAGACGGTGCGAATGAAAAGTCAATTAATCAGTGGCGCGCAGTACACGGACGACGCGTGTGTATCAATTTGTTAAAGCTGAAAAAAAGTGTTGGCTTTTGTCGATCGTTGCTTTCGATACGAACGCACAATATAATGTCCAACGAGTACGACGCACTCTTATGCAAATAGACAAGTCGGCGTTGTCTGGCGAAAAACTCGCTACCGATTACGCGAACAACATTACATTATTATCGTTTCGTTATAGTAGCTGCGCTCGGGTATACTAGGCTACGCGCTCGTACGCTAGTGCGCCATAAGTTTGGCTGCATTTTTTAGCTGCAACGCGAGACGCCTCTTAGCTGGAAGATCTTTTGCGCAATTATACCAGAAGGAGAGAAAGAAAAAGAGAGCGATAAGACGTCCTATCTATGGATTTATAACTTCTTTAATCCGCGTGGAAAATTCAAGATATATGCGCGATATCTTTCACATAATTACAATCATTAATGCAAGCGAGTGGCGCATTGCCGCCTCGCTAAGGAATGCGTATACTTAGCTACGCGAACGCGTACAAGGAGTATATCGTATCAATGACAAAAAAAAGTAGCTGCGTTATATGTATTAACATCTGCGCCGATCGAGATTAGCAAACGCTTTTTACCGGTATACGTGCGCGAAAAATGTGCTAATCAAAGCTACGTTGGCCAGTTTCTTTTTTTTATGCGCGCAAACGATGTTTTCGTGCTACCGTCTAATAGCCCCTAGAGCTCGTTATATCATCGATATATGCTGGTATAGGAAGTACTTACAGCTTTGGAATCTGAATTTTGTCGGCGTCGTTTTGCCGGCCGAAATCGTGCCAGGGCCTCCTGCCGACGGAGGCGCCGCTCGTCGAGTTCGGTGTGGTGGCGCCGCTCGGGATGACCAGACCACCTGTGCTGTTGCTCCGCTGCAGCTGTCCCGGCTGGACCGACTGGTGCATCTGCAGCTGGAGCGAGGACGGCTGATGGTGCTGGCCGCTCATGACCTGGCTCGACTCCAGGATGACTCCGGCGCCGCCGTTGCCTCCGTTGCTCGAGCACAGCTCCGTGTAATCGAAAGTCTGCCCCAAGATAAAACAACGAATCGCGAAAATCGTATTAATTGCTAAAACTGCTCGGCTCTGCGCATTTATATAGATCAAATTTCTCGTATAATCGCGCTCGGTAATGGCTCGACACTTTATTTTGCTCATACATGCACTATATGGGTAGGCAAGCTCTACAAAAGTGGTAAATTTTCATTAAAATGCAAAGTTGCAGTACTCGAAGAGCTCGTACGTGTGTGTGTGTGTGTGCTCGTATGTGTGTATTGCCATAGCGCAATTAGATCGATAACGACTCGAGCGCGCATACTCGCGAGTCTGTAAAAATGCGCTTATTTACAGCTGTTGCTGCCGCCGTCGCCGCGGCTACTCGATCTGATTTATAATTGAAATGTGCAAATATGCCGAGCTCCAGTCGTCCGCGCGCGCGAGCGTTAGGTAATATGTTTGTGTCGTTGTGGCCAGTGCCAACACCTTTTTTCTTTTTTTTCTTCGCTTCTGCATATTGCAAGCGCAGACTCGACTCGCTAAATAGATCTTCGCTGCGAAATAATTGAAAAGTCGCGTCTCGGTTATTAGTCAGCTGGCGAGCGCGACCGGTGTAAAACACGCGGCGAATCACTCGTCCTGCTTGGCGATAAAAGTTGACAAACTTTTCTCGAATCGGTATGTGGCGATCGACACGCGATCGAGTCCGAGTCGCTTTCTCTCGGCTGCACGCGCCGATCCGTAGTCGATCCATTGCCGATCGCTGCCGATTATGGAAGTGGACGCTTTGCATCGATCGATTAGGTATGAAATGTAGCGGACTAGTACAACTGCTACTACAACTGTTAGCGCAAGCTATTAATACGTGCTCGGAGTGCATAATTTGGTGAAAGTGTCAGTACCGCGGCGTCGTTTTTCTATTCGTTTGCTTTTTCGTCAAAGACTCGAATACTCGATCGGCAACTCGAGTCGAAAGAAGAAAGAATATTATTCGCCTACTGCTCGCTTACCTGCTGAATAGTGGTTGGTTGCGGGTGGTCCTGTCTCGGGGTGGAGGCGTCGGTGCCGATGCCCGAGTCGGGGCTCGGCAGATCGACCAGCAGCGCCTTGTTGTTGTTATTGTTGTTATTGTTATTGTTGTTGTTGTTGTTGTTGTTGTTGTTATTGCTGTTGGGCGTGTTGCTCTGAGAGGCTGCCGACCTCATGTTTTGACTAGTCGTATAGGTGCTGGGCACCACGTCGTATCGGGTGTAGGAGGCCGCCGTGGACGAGGGCAGCGAGGTGACGGTCGACACCATGGGCGGCAGCTCGTTGCTCGGCGCGTAGATGTGCTCCTGGTGCTGGTGCTGCACGAGGCCGACGCTCGACACCGACGAGACGCTCGCCCCGTTGTAGTGGCTCGCGTAGTGCCGCGGACTGTTGTTGCCGTAGGGGTCGTAGGGCGAGGCCCCGTACGCCGTCGACAGGTGGCTCTGCAGCTGATGGTGCTGCGGGTGGTACATCACCTGGGGTGGACTGTCGGGTTGCTGCTGCTGTTGCTGCTGCTGCTGCTGGCTGAGCTTGTGGCGCTTCGAGGCGGGCTGCTGCAGGCCTCCCCGCGAGCTCAGGTCCTCGGGCTCGCGCTTCACCCCGACGAGGGCCTGTTGGCCCGACTGTGGACTCAGCGGCAGCGGCAGACCCGACTGCTGCAGCGCCGTCGCTGCGGTCGGACTGTGGGATGGCTGCTGCTGGTAGTGCTGCAGATAGTGCTGCAGCTCGCCGCTTTGTGGCTCCGCGTCCTGGCCCATGACTTTGTTCGGGTTCATCATGCCGCTGCTGGAACAGCGAAAAATAACGAGTTATATTGGATCATCGACGCCAACGAATGCCATTGGCATTCCGATCGGCTGCATGGAAAAGGTAGAGGAACCGATAGGAACTTTGCGCACGAGTTCACACGCAAGATCGTGTTGGAGCGCTGCTACATATACAATATATGTAGGATAACTAAAGCGTAGCTCGAGCAATGGAGTATCGCAGGACGCGACGATATGCATGATGATGAGCAGCAGCTAACGGATTAGCATTGCATTACTTCTCTCTCATCGGGCATTGAAGACGCGAGTGGATGCTCATGCTGCTACGCACCAACTATCCATTTCATTTAAGCCGAATTCATGAGAGTCTATATAGCCCGTAGCTATGCAGGTGTGCATGTGCGCATGTACACGTACAAGTACACGTTTTATTGTGCGTCAGTTCGCGCGTTTATATGCAGAGTAGTAGTACGTAGTAGTAGTAGTAGTAGTGGCAGAGCGTCAGGTATCGTTTTGCAAGTGAGCGTACGCCACCTCCCCTCGTCGTCGATGCTTCGGGCCGCTTTGTGCACGAGCATCTGACCGTATGGGGTTGTTGCGCCTCTCCGATGCCGGCAAACAGCTCAGACAAGCACTAACTGTTGCCAAAGCCCTGCATTGTGTGCGCGTCGGCATGCAAATAAAAAATCAACGTAAAAAAATACCTACTTCGAGAGTATGCACACACAGACTACTGACTGTGCAATAAACTCAGTGAAAGAGAGAGAGAGAGAGAGAGAGTAGGGGGCAGCTGTATTATCATGCTAAATGTAACATGTTAACTATCTTTCACTCTTGAATGCCGAGGACAGAAGACACGAAAAGGAAAAGACGAGCTGACGAGTTCTGATGCTATAGCTGTCTTCGATACGAGTCTCTATGTGTCTGCGTGTGAGAGCAAAAGTTGACAAAGTTTAATTTCCTTGGCAGGTGCTACGTGTTCCTCCAATTTAATCAAATTTTTTAACCTAACTAACAGGTGTCGATACTTGGAAATTATTTTACGATCTTATGTGGCAACTTTTTTCCCAAGACCAATTGGCATCCTGTCAAATTCACGTGGAATCAATTGAGAAGCCAGTAACTTATGACAGATCGATTTCAACACTTACGATTTGTCGAGCGATTTTCATCGAAAATCTTCGCTATTCACCGGCACGAATAAAAGACATTTTCTTACTAAACATTTTCCAATAATCTATTTATTAAAAAATTGTCGTATGAAAACCAATAGTGCAAGAAACTCTCGAGCTTGGATCGCGAGCTTTAACTCGAACTGATTTTTCAACTCTCCGTAAGTGCAAAAAACACAATAAAAAAAAATGTCGTAACCTTTTTTTCGTCGTATTCGCTCGACACAATAAAGCAACAAACGTGTACAGGCGCAAGAGCATACTTGTGAGTATAGGTACAGCTGCTGTCAGCTGGCAAGGCGTTAAATACGTCGTTCCAAGAGTCGTAAAATCAGTGAGTTCTCTCTCAGCTCCGTAGCTCGAGTTATACATTGAAAAATTTAGCCGTTGGTGTGAAAAGTACGCGGGCAGCTTAATGATTTGAGCAAAAGCGCAGCGAAGAGAGATTTTGTCGTCAAAACTCGCACCTTTGTCGTCGTTCTTTCTCGCGGCTGCGGCTATTTATACACATAAAAAGTACGAGATAAAGAGAGGAAATATGTCAGTCGCATTTACGAAGCGAATATAACGAGTAGTAGTGCGAAATATAAGCGCGCGATGTTATGCCCTGGCGTGCATAACGAAAGAAAAAAGCCAAGCAGCGTCGTAGGTTTGCGCGCACGCGCGGGAATCGGCAGACGAGAGAAAGAGGGAAGAAAAAATGTAAACATGCCTCGCTACACGTAGATGCGCACACGGTAGCAGCGAAATATCTTGTCCTAAAAGCCAGCGTGATCGAGCGAGCGAATCTTCATCGCGATCATAATGCCGCCCATCTCGTAAAACTTGCCAAACGGGTAGCGCGAGCTGCTACTGCTGCTGCTGCTCGGCTCGCTACATAGTTGCTCTATCCGCACGAAATTCGCCATCTCTTATAGTCGAGCCGGCAGACGGTATTTATCATGGGTGGAGGAGGTCGTTTCTCGGGGTCGTGCAGTCTCCTGGGCTGCTGCCAGCTCGCGTGCTCTTGTGTGTTTGTGCTCGCAGCAAACTGACCCCCCCGCGAACATACCGGTCTTTCGCACCCAGAGAATCTTGCTCTCGTTCGAGCAGGTGAAAACCGGCATTTCGCCAAACCGGATATAAATATACGGCAGCAGTCGTCTCGAGGCAGAGGCGTGCGTCGCCGGCATACGGCAGCGATGCCTGTTCTTATAGGTAGCGGATGACCACGCGCCTACCTACGTGCGGCGACTTACGGTACAAATGCGTTTGGCCTTTAAAAAGCCACCCGCGAAAAGGACTCGCACGAGCTGCGCAGCGCAACCACGAGCGCGATCACGTGCGGTAGCCTGCGATTAAGATCGGCTTTGTCAAAGGCGCGTCTACCGCGCCAGTGGGCAAAAGGCATCTTTTCAGCCGACCATTCCTGCGCGCACGTGCTTACATTTTCATCTTTCCCGCGCTTCGTGAAACTTGATGTGCGTTACGTTAGGCTATTTCGCGAGACTCACAGGCTTGCTCGTCGCTTTTTAAGGGCGCGCGCGCGGTGTGAGAAAAAAATGAGCAGTTAATTAAGAAAACGGCACTAGGCTTGCAGTCGCTCGCACGCGCCGAGTATATTCTACGAAAACAAGCCGACATTATCATAATCAGAGAAAACAATAATAATAAAGGCGAGCGCGCAGGTAGCAGTAGCAGATAGTCAAGGAGCGATCGCGTAGCAAAGTACGTGGCAGGAATGCGCGACGCAGAGTCCAGCGCGCAAAGGAGCTTTTTTACGACGTGACGCGGAGATGAACTCGCTTAGATAATGATTGTTGCGGATGAAAAGCGAGCTACATGGCTGACCTGTGAACTCGTTGCCGTGGCTTCTTTGTCCCGCGGTACCGAGTTGACCATACGCAGAACTAGTTACGTTTCTTGCATACGTTCGTTAAAATGCATAATTTGCCTCGGCCCAGGCTGCGATCTTGCGACTTTTATCTAGCTTTCGGACAACTTTTGCAACTGCTAATGTCCGCGACAAAAGTTTCTAACGACGTTACGCTTGGCTCTGCGAACGCGACGATAACGCCTAAGCCCAGATCCCGGGACGATCTGCGAGCGAGCGAGCGCAGAAATGCGCCAGCAAGTTACATTTTCACACCCAAAGCAGCAGAGAGTCGAGTTGGGCCGTGCGACCTAATCGTTTATTTGCAGCAACGACAGCGATTATCGTCGACGAGGATAAAAAAGCCGACTGCGGCGCAGATATGGCAGACATAATTTACGCGTAATTAAATGTAGGACAATGCAAAAGCGAAAGGATCGTAAATGTCAGGTAGAGGAGTAGTCAGTCGCGCGCAGGGCACCTACGCGCCGGCCACGATTCCGCATAGCATCTACGGAATTCTCGATTTTTCTCTCCTCGGGACATTTTATAGACGCGAGCTAGCCGGGCGCGTAAGCACAATAAAGGTAAATTTATGTCGCGTACTGCTCCATACACGAGTACGCTCGCTGCATATAATAACGCTTTAAAAACGTGCTAGTCCATTTTTATGTAATGCGAGCGCAAAGAGAGCTGCGTATGTACGTGTATGCACTCGCAGCGATCCAAGCAGACAAAGGTATCGGTGGGCTTGACTCGAGCAATTGGTCTCGCAGTGCTTTGATCTATGTGCTCCGTCGCAGTGCTCTCTCGCACTCGTCTTCCGGTCCATTTGCCGGGTTTGCAAACTGTTCTCGTTTTCTTTTCTACGTGCGCGCATCTCTTGTGTGTACCTCGCACCCTTTCCCCGGCCGTTGCCGAGCGAGCAAGAGAATCGCTGCTGTTGATGTTTGAGCGAGAGAGAAAATAAATATAGCCGGCAGCGCACGTAGATACAAAAATCCCCACTTTTGATTTATATCGACCGCTTAGCATATTTTGTTATTTACTGTTTGAGAAACTTGGTTCGGCGCGAGTAGCGAGAGAGAAAAAAAGCAGCAGCTCCCTACATAAACGAGCTATCTTTGCTAATCTCGCAGTCGAAATCTCGTATAGGAAGCAGAATATATATAGAGTGGAAAAAGTCGGCCGATGCGTATCTCGGCCTCGTCGCTACAGCTACACACGTACTCGAGGATTTTAATCTAATTTTCATCGTCACCTGCCCCCCGTACGGTGGTATAAGCGCGAGCAGTGCGCCTTAATTATATGCATAGCTCGGCGAAAGAAAATATAAGGGCGAGTCTGTATCAATTACCCCGTAGTGTGGCGCGGCGGATCGCTGCCGCAGGGGTATCGTGCCTCATGGGGTGGCGAACTCTACACGAACGTAATATATAGAATTGCCTTCGACGCGCAGCAATTCAAGTCGGCTTAGTCGCGCGCGAGAGATCTGCTTTTCTTTAATCGGATAGTTATATCGGAAAGGATAGAAGCGAGAAGAAGGATAGAAGGTTTCGTGAGATCCTACCTCTCGTGCTCGTGCTGAGGCACGTATTTGCCCCAGAGCTCGTGGGTCGACGGCAGCTTCATGTTTACGTTGCCGGGCAAGACGACCTCCTTGTCGGGCATCTTGTAGAACTCGTAGACGTTGAAGGGATTGACGACGTGCTGTGGCTGCTGCTCGTCGTCGACTGGATGGCCCGTTACCGCTGAGACTTGGACTTGATGCTGTGGCTGGAGGTGCAACATCGCTGTGGTCGCTGCTGACAGGGGATGCTCGCCGTAAGCGTTTCTCCACTCAGTTTCCATACCCTGCACTTGGACCTGAATAGTCGCGACTCTGCTCTGGCCCTGGGCCGAATCCTCGTCGTCGTTCTCGACTCGGCCGCTCGAGGCGGCGTTCCGCTGCTGATCCCGCTGCTCTTGTTCCTGCTGCAGTCGCTCGTTGGCCTCTCCGACGCTCGTTCCGTCTTCGAGGTTCTGCTGCTGCTGCTGCTGCTCTCGGGTTGCCGCCGTCACCGACGAGTCGTTGGCCGCTGATACGTAAGCTTCGTCGCTGCCCACTGTTACCACGACGCCAGAGTCCTCCTCGTTACGATTGCGTCGTCTGCAATGAGAGAAAAACACGAGGTTATTGATTGATCGGCGCAACAACGCGCGTACACGCAGCCGCGAGGCTAATTATACTCGGAAAGCGTATCGACGCCCATGAGCGTCCAACTTATTATAATCGATAAATTGTCGATCCTCGCGCGTGTACGAGCCCAAGACTAACTGTACAGGTCATAATATATATTTATTTATAAAATAAAAAGTATAGCGCGAATGCGCCGAGCCGAGAGCCAACATAAACTCGGCTAGAAGAAACCAGTACGATATTAGACATTTTTTCCGCTTCGTTTTGTTTATGTCCAAGAGGCCAAGCCGGCGCGATCCGTATGTACATAATGCCGTTATCCACGCGCACAAACTTAATTTACACGAAGCTACTTCGTACGGAGCTGCGATGGCCATTAGCTCCTAATTATATTGATTTATACTTGGCTGCTCGCGCATACGCGAGGCGCAATAATTCGTCGATCCAGTTAAGCTTCCGTGTCTCATCTTTCATCCAAGGCTTAAATAAATGTCGATCCGCGCGCCTATGCCAGGGAGAATGGCGTTGGCGAGCTTTCTCGCGCCTCGGCCAATTAGCTATGCGTGCGCACACGCGAGACCAGCCGAGTAACTATAGTAAGTAACAGCTCCACCCTGCACGAGCCCAGCCGATCGAGCATCGCCATTGGGATGTGGCACGAGACGCGTCAACGGCCAACAAGGACGCGCCGACTCGTAGTATCTAGCCTCGAGAGTGGCAAATAAAAGCAGTTGTCGTCGCCGCGGGAGCACTTTCCATTGGCTACTGGCCCCTGACTGCTCTCCTTGCATCCGAGGAGTCGTCTATCTCGGCATAGCCAACAGAGAGAGAGAGCCAACCGAGTCGTCGGCGCGAAAAAAAACTCGCCCCGACGTATCTATTGGAAATCGTTTTATCGATAGCTGCGCCAATATCTACTCGACGCACCGATTTTAATTGGATGGGCTTTTGAGACTTGTCAAAGACAGGAGAAAGATAACGCATTGCCTCGTTTGAACGCAGTAATTTTCTCAAATACAACCCAAAACCCAAACGAGTTAAACCTCGAGAGGGGTCGATTTCGTCCAATGACTACTTTTCACGGACTGACCTCAGCAGCTATTTTATTAAGCTTTTTCATTTCTTTAGTTTTTGTATGCCCGTGGGGCCCTTTTCGTCAATAAGTCTATAGAAATAAATAGAAAATTCAAGGGAAATGTTAGCGTTTCGAGTCGTTCTATCGCATCTGGCTGTATAAGCTTCGGCGCGCGATAAGCAAGCAAGAAATATGCGTTTTATTTCGCATTATACGAGCAGCGAGTATACGCGCGCTGTTCAATTAAGAGGGCAAAAAAAGGAAGGATACGTGAATGCTTGTGTGCCTTAGCGGAGAGCAGCGCATCGATGATTAATTATTATAGACCCCTTTTGACGTGACTCGACTCGCGTCATCAATTTAAGCTTCTTCATCTGCTTTTGCCTCGGAGCTCAGCAAACCCTTTCGATCATCGTTTCGTCCTCTAATTTATGCATGCCGAATCAATCTCTACTCTGCACCTGGAAACGCGTATGCGTGTAGCATGCGAGAGATAGAGATGAAAAAAAGTTTGATAATGAGCGCGCGCTTATGCGCCTTCCTGAGCAAATATTTTTCTCGCTCCGAATGTTTACTTAGTCGCGCGTCTTTATTATTTGCTGCTTCCGACGCTGCTGCCGCTAGCGAATGTAGCTGCAGCGAGGGGCCAAGCGCGTGAGAGACCGGCATTTTAGTGGCTCAGCCGAGTCGAAATAAAGCCGTACATCTTAGCATCCTATGAATTTCTTATACTTCGAATCAAACATTTAACGGAACGCACAGATATGGAAAACTCCATTATCACCGATTTTGAGAATCACAAAATAATCCGTGCATTAACATTTTTGATGAAAAAGATAAGGCCGAAATCATAGATTTATCGAAACACTCGGTAAATTATTTCAACGGGAGCCGTGAAAATTTCACACATACAAAAGGCTCTCGCGTGACTCTCTTTTAAAATTAATAGATGTGATTGAGTGTCAAAAAATAATTCGGTAATTCAGGATAACATGAAAAGCTGGATTCTATAGTCATATCGTCAGTCATTGAATGCTGATAAGCATCTAGCTGATCGGTGAGCGGCCACAGCGAAGCTGATAAGCATAAGTTGATCTAATTGGAATTCCAAATATCTAGCCGGGAGAAAATAAGCGCGGCCCCCCCGTGGCTTCCCTTTGCTATTATGTTAATGAAAGTACGTCACTCGTTTACGTAGTTTAGATAGATTTCCTATAACGTACTTGCGATGTTACACTTTTCATCAATCAGAAATGGCGATAATTATATAAAGCTATCAGCAATGTAAAAACGGCATTTTGTCATTCATCCGCCCACGCGTATAAGCTCCGCCCACGGGTTCGAGCACGAGTAGTGGGGACGAGTTCGCAAGTCGCTTATATCGGAAGTTATACAGGCAGATTTAGGATGCCGACAATAACATAGGCTGCACCGTAGACCACGTAAATCGAAGCTCGAAGTTCGATGGTAAACATCGGAAGCATACGCGTGCAGGGGGGGAACACCCGTGGCTGTGCGGATCGTCCGTTAGTTGTGGTTGCGCGTAATTAGCCCGAAGCTCGCGACGTTGCGTGCGTGTGGGCAATTCGGCGAGCAGATGGACGTTTTCGAAGCCCTTGGATCGCCGCCATCGGAATTTCGATTTTTTCTCTGTAAATACGCATAGGAGCGATAAAGATCTGTATTAATACCGCACTATAAATGCGTGCACTATAAATCGAATGAATTTAGCTAATATCGCGTTACAAGCGCCTTGGCCGGATGTTGCGCGATCGTTGAGGAATTTCGTCGTGTCGCTCGTTGTTGTTTTTTGCTATTCCTCTCGGCAAGAACGTACGGTCGCGCGACTGAACGATTCGAGCCGAGATGCTCTACACGGCGGGATGGCAGGAGGCTAGATTTGCACACGCGTGTGTGCAGAATCGCAGCGATGAAATGTCACGTCATAATTATAATACAGGATAACAGGCATGCAAAAGTAGATATGCTATAGGTGTATAGTTGCGCGGTGCAGCAAGGCGCGCGACATCCGACATTCGACACGCTCTCTTTCCTCTTTCTACGATCGTGTCGGCGCGTAAAGCTCGCTCTATAGGTCAGTGTACTTTGGCCCTCTACGATCGAGCTGGCAGAGCGCTCGGCTCCCCCGGATGCAACAAAAAAATTATATACACTCATGCATGCCGATAGAAAAACGAGTAGCACGTGGGAATAGCTCCGAAGGGTTGTACCTGACTGACTTTGATGGATCGAGGGCTACGGACGACCCTTTTTTACTATCTCTCTTTCTCTCTCTCTCTTTCTCGCTTTGCATCGTCATCTCGTTTGTGTGCATAGATAGCATATAATACTTATGCAAAGCCATTGCGATCCGATGTTCCTGCACATGTTTATTCTTTTTTTTCCAAAGAGATCCGCAAGCAAGACGATGATCGAAGACGTCCCGCGTAAAACGCAATATCGATATTTTTTCGTCAATCGATCGATATTATGAGGCAAGCGGCTCGTTAATTACCTTAGAGAAAGGCTTCTGAGGCAATAAAAGAGAGACAAGTGCTTTTTTTGAATTTATAACAGATTAGAAGTTGCGAAATTCATTCGTATATAATACATAATATTGGTACACTTAGCCGTTTGAAAATTCATAATTTAGTCAGACTACTGAAGAAAATATCCAACTAGCTCGCGTAAGTAATTTTTAAAGTCAAGTTAAAGGCGAGGGGAAAAAAGCGCCACGAGACGATAAATGCTTATCGCCGTTGGCTGAACCTGGCGACATGTATCGCTAACTACAACTTCCGCGCGCGTATGTATTTCTCTTTTGCACTTGACAACGAGGTCGAGTACAATTAAGCCTCGCGCGGCTATCATTATGAACGCCGATATCAGTTCCAAGCTGCTCAGCTTTTTTGCAGCTTGGGTGTTTTTGCGACAAGTCGAAGCACTCGCTAGAACGAGAGAAAGAGAGAGAGAGAGACAAAGATTATCCTACGGAGACACCCCGATGCAGTTTTGCCGTAATTAAGCTGCTCGATTATCGCTCGATTGCGATTTCAAATTCGGGTATCGTGATTGTTCAGCTGTGTCAACTACCCGAAGCTTGTGTAGATTATAATAATCAAGCCATACACGAAAAATCAATCAGTATTGCATGAAAAATAATTTGTAATTCAAAAATCAAGTAGAATTGATAGAAAGGCTTCTTCGTGGCGTACTTTAGCGCAATACTTTTGGAGAGGGGGTATCGTCGTAGCAGTAGCGTAAGAACCTCGTCGATCATCGAATATGTTAAGTATTAATTTATAAGGGGCCAGCTTCGCTTGGAATATCATCTCGAGGATCCACAAACACGCGCGGTTTATACCCGTGCTTGGGAAACGAAGCTGCGAGACGGAAAGAAAGATTAATGTCGTGAAAATCCACCTACGGAGGTAGCGACTCTTACTCGAGTCCCTCGCTCGGACCGACCAAGGCGCGGATTTTTTTACACGTATATCATTTGAATTATTATTCATTCATTACGCACGACACACTGCCAAAGGATTTATTCATTTTCCGACTTTGTGCGAAAATTTATACGCGCACAGCTGCATCGACTGCAATTGCGTGAGTTATCGATTTGTACCGTACTCGGATCGCTTGGTTGGTATCGGCGTCAAAAGTTGGGCCTTTTTCTCATTCTTCTCTACAATCGGCCCGTAATAATGGGCACGTGTGGTTGGCGCGCGCACAACTATTCTGCACTACGCATATTATGAAAGTTCATATAATAAGCGACGAATAGAAGGTTCGCTCGCGCGCATCTAACACGTAACGCGCAGCATCCAAAGAAGTGGCGGCAGCGTCGAGTCAAACGTAGACTCTATAGGAGCCAGTAGACGTCCCCCCAGCCGAG